GAAAGAGAAAGAGAAAGAGAAAGAGAGAGCAACCATCCACAAGGTGCCATGCATCTACCCAAAAAAGAAAGCATGTCGCCTTCGATTGTGACCTCAAAAACTGAAGGCCCTGCAGAGTAGGAGTCGCCACCGAGACCACAGTGGAGATCGCTGTCCACCACGTGAGTGTACAGTCCTTCCAATGAAATGCGATGGGGAACCATGTCTCTTTGCGTCTGTTCCCAAAAGCACGAGGCTTGAAATGAATTGAGACCGCCAGAACAAGGAACAAACTCACAAAACAGGATCGGTCCAGTGTCGAGGCCAACTTCCATGGACTTGTTTGTGTAGACCTCAGTGGATCAACGCAGTGTGACTCCAAGCACACGACTGTATCAACAAAAGCACCCGCGAGGCTCTGGCAGCAAACTTGTCGCAGGCAAAGATGCTCACCTGGCTCGAGACATCGACCGAGTTGCTCCACATCCAAAATCACTTGCAAACGACAAGATGGTGCATGGTTTGCGCCAGCTGTATATCTGCATGCCTCCCAAGTAAATTGAACAAGTTGAACTGAGAATCGCCCTTCACAGTTGTGGGCCGATCTAATTCCCACCCCCATCTGCTCGCAGCTCCGTGTGCGCCTGGTGGAAGTATTGCCAGGCCAGGAGATCCACCTCGTACCCGAAGGGCAGCATCAGGGAGAAGCAGAACATCCCGGCGCGCTCCAAGGGGAACTCGTCCTCAGCTGTCACTCACGGCAAGGTCAACGGGCTATTCGTGGGAGGGAGCAGTGGGTCCAGGCCACCCAACTCCAAACTGCACCAAGGCACGGGGGATGCCTCCTGCGGTGCAACCCCAAATTCTATGCGAGGAGGAGGCACGCCAGCCACGACCTCAGGTTGCAGAACTCTGTTTCAAGCGTGGAAAATGTGGTTGTCCAGGAATTCCACTCGATTTACCATGGCATTCTTGCCACTTGCTCACACGAGCAAAGATCATAGTCAGAGCAGCACCCTCGAAATGGTTCAAAGGTCCAGCACAAATCTCCTTCAAATTCAATCAAACATCGGGGCTACCGCTGAGCCCTGCACGCCTGCCTTACCCTTCTTCTGGACGGGCTTTCCACCTCGTTCTCAATGCAAACAAACAAGACCAACACAAACAGGACTCAAAGGCACTAAATGGATCTGGAATCATCTCAGAGCCTCAAATACAAACAAACCGGACACCGTGTCAAGCAGCCTGCATCTCACTACCACCCCTGCGCCACCTGGCCTTTCAGCCAGCACTGGCTGGGGCAGCCGTCCAGACCCGCATCTGCCACCCAAACGAAGGACTTGCATTTTGGATTGGCCTGGCGCGTCCCAGCAGGTGGAATCGCTTGTTTTCCTCCTTCGCGTGATCATGTTCGGGGCTCTTTCCAACAACCGTCATCACCTTGGGTGACAAATATGTACACTTTGATAAGAGTTGGATGATACTTTGAAACAACAGAACGCCCGTGCTGGAACCTTCCACACCTTGGATGACACATGAAAGACTAACCCCAGCCTGGCAGAAGGCGCAGCACATGTCGGGGCTGGGGATGTGGTCCAAGTTGGTGCCCCACCCAGAGAACTCCACCTGCAACTTACTGCAACCCGGAGGCAAATGAGCGATCTCTGCGCTTGCTTCGAACTGCAACAAGTGAGCCCCTCGCAAGTTTGTGCAGCCAAAGAGCAAAAAGGCTCTGGGCTAAAGAGTTTGCCAGCCATGGGGAATTATTGGGTGACATGTAAGAGTTCCTGGCCATGTCTGTCTCAAGGCATTTGCCCACCCCAACAATGATCACTGCTCACTGAGCATAATAATAGATCCTGTCAGTTGGCATAAAAGATTCTTGGGAGAATGCACTACTAGCTATTGCAAGGGGTGCGTGTGTGTGTGTGTGTGTGCCCACCGTGGGCAACTGAGAAAATAGACAAGAAATCCGGAAACGGCACAACTTGAATACTAGATGTTGGATGACACCACCATCAAAAGCTGATCAAGAGTTTGGCAGGCCAAAACGCATTGCGGCCACCGCAACTTCAGTACGGATCCATGTTTGCGACCAGGCTGCATAATCAGTGTTGTTCTCCATGTGTCCACACTGGCTCGAGGACAAGTCCCCATCCCACCTAAGCATCGTCTCACACGTGAGCCAAACAGGTCAACTCCTTTCCCAAGGTTGATGCATCAGCTGAGAGTCGGAGATCATTCTGTCTAACGTTTAGTTTAAATGTCCAGGCGCCCAGAGCCGTCGCGGCCTCACACCGGCTCCTTCCCTAAACAAAATTGGGTGTTTCCCTTTGGTTTGAACAAAGGTACTCCAAAAAACAAAGACACGCCTAGATGGTCCTCCCTGAGAACCGGGGTCACAGCTTCGCAATGGCATGCCTTGCATTCGACCGGGCCACCTGGCGGCAATCAGTTTCACCAGCCCGCTGCACCGTGTCCAGTCCGATCTCTCAGTCTCAAGCATTCTCGCAGGATGGCCATGGCAGAAAAATGCCACCGGGGCACCGGTGGCATTTTTGGGGTTCCCATTTGGAGACGAACCCACATCAACGGTTTGCCGGGAAAGGCTGCCACGATGACTACAGGAATTAAATGTTCAAAAGGTAATCACATGTTCAAGAACATGTTTCTTGGACTCATCTCTCAACGTCTGGCAGAAACCTTCATCAACACACATCTTACTATTGCAAACCTAACTGTTCTCTAGTCCACACCACCTCAATGTTAGAATCAATGAGGAAGTGAGTACAATTAATACATTTGCCAAGTTAACCGTTCTATTTCTTGGTGTTTGTTATTGTTGCGAATATGTTTATGTTATGACCAGAATTGACTTAATTCCATCTTCAAACAATGTTGGGTTCGAATAGGTTCAAAATTGGAACGAAGTTGATGCAAACAATCAGAATGCTGTATTTCAAGGGTTGTATGCAATGGAAATCCTCATCCTGCCAATTAATATGTAACGAAGGTTGATGAACAACAAAATAAAACATGCGGTATCCTTCCATCTGACCAAAGGGGATAGAAAGGCTTGGAGGTCATCTATCTTCATCAAACCATGGCATTGCGCTTTTCGGGGTTGCCTTAAAGGAAGACCAAAGGGAAATACCCATTCAAGGGTTGTGCCATTGGAACCAAGGTCTGTCGAGTGCGACGGAGGACCTTGAAAACAACAATGCAAAAAGGGAGCGGCAATTGTATTCCTCTTGGCTTCTTGTCAAGCATGCTCACCGTGCCAAAAAGAGAAAACCCTTGGACACTTCCCCAACTCCCTAGCCAGCCTTTGTGTTGAAGAAGGCGGCCGCCGCGCACAGAGCGCACACGCCAGCAAGCAAGAGTACAGCCTCAGGGCTGGCAGCAGGCACAAACACACGCATCCCAAGCAATCCAAAGCAGCAATGGTCAAAAACCCATAGACCTCAAGTTTTTGCTGCTCTCTGTCCCACCTTTTTCGTCCCAAACCGAGGGCAACTCACAACCTGATCCCCTTGGTGCTGGCCTTCCGAGGCAGTCGGAACTTGGAGCCCGTATCCTGGCCAGGTTCCCGGGGCCAGGGCATACTTTCGTCCCTGGATCGGTGTCTTAGGTTAAACCCCAGTTGACATCACCAAAACCAACCCCAGGATTGCTTTTGGTTCATCTTGGCCATGCCGACGAACACATGCGGCCTTCTTTTTGTTGAGGTCTTTGCTGCATTCTCCCCTCCTCAATCAGCTCGTCCCCGGACTCAATGTTCAACTGGGCCTCGTGGCCAGTTGATGAGTGGCAGAGGTCTCACTTGCTTCCATCATTGCACAGGCACTGGACCTTCTATGTTTTTTGGCTTGAGCTTAAGGCAATTCATCAAACAAAACTGGCACAAGTCAAAATTGGGTGCTATATGAATAAGGCGGGGCAAGGCTAAGGAAACTAGCCACATGACAGGAATCTCGCCATCAACCGCATGCAAATGGCGTAGGCCTTCTCGGAACAACATATTTTTAGTTGGGCGTGCCAACGGGCACGAAATTCCACGGTGTGCAAAGAGCAAGCCAAGGAAGCATAGGGCCGCAACACGTGGAAATAGCGGATGCCAACTTTCCATTGCAATTACAAACACATCCTGTCCAGTCTTGGCAGTAAACTCAACTAAGCCTCCCCCTTTACTTTAGCAGCTCGAAGCTAGGTAGAATGCCCGGCTTCCGCAAGCGGAAGCAGAAATGTAACCGGCCATCCATCTTCCCTGCGCAATTCGTAACAGCCGACCTCGGCATTACTTTGGGGACAATTTGTAAAATGCTTGTTGAATAAAAAGTCCCAGTGTCAAAGCCCATCAAAAGGGCTGTAGACGTGTTTGTCTTTCAAGTCCAAGGCACATCGTTTTCTTAGTCTCTCAAGCCACCCTTGCGCCCGCCTGCAGCGGCACTTCCTACAGCCAGGGCACATCACGACTCTGAGTCGTTTCCAAACACCCAACGCTTCCAGACGCATCTTGACCTCCAGCTTCCCCGCGCCAAGAAAGGGAGCTCCTCCCTTCAAAGTTACAAGGTGCACAAACTTAAACCAACTTATCCCGAGACCCAACAGCCCCACCGAGCCAAAGAGCCAAGCAACCCCAAGCAACGCACATCTCAACTCTAAGGTGTCCACCTCCAAACTCGGCATGGCTTCCGAGGCCCGACACCAAAAGGCTTGAGCCGCGTCCCTGCACGTGATTGCTCCTGTGGCTTTCTCAGCCCAAACAATCTAAGCCCTCAAGAACCTGAGCCCTCGCAAACGATGTCTTAGGATCCTACCTCGGTGATTTCTCTATGCACCAAACGAGTGAATTGCATTCACGTGTCTTGTGTCCAGATCCACCCACACCTGAGTGCCGCAAGAGTGAAGGAAACTACTGTGGCCCGCCGCTGCAACAGAAACCGGCACATCGGCCTTTCAACATCTCATCTGCACCAGCTGAAAGCCACCGCACCCTGCCCCGGCGTTTAGGATGGTGCGAGCAAACTGGCCGTTGAGCTTGTCATCCTGGAAGCCATGGAGCGGACTTCATCACCCCTTCAAGGCGGCCTATCTGGATACTCATAAAATAGGCCGGCAAACAGGCAGCAGGTGTTGGCCATTTGCATTTGAGTTTGCGCTACAGTCAATCTAACAGCTCCCAACAAACAGTGGTGTGATAGCCGCATGGGTCCGTCCGGGAAGCCTGCTAGGAAACCAGAAGCCTGCCAAGTATTCACATTTGGGCGTGGCAAATATCAGGACTTGGGTAAAAATGCCCAACATGGCCCCTTCTCAAAAGGGTTGCCTCAGAAAAAGACTTGGTACACCCAGCTGGGATCTGGGCTTGGGCAAATTGCCAGCCCAACCAGGTGGGACTTGGCGCTATTGTTGTCCGTCCGGGCCTCCGCCCCAAAGCCAGACACGCAGAGCTCCTGGCACCGGGCCGTCGGCGCCTCTCCGATGCTTGACTTCCACTTCAGGCGTGTTCCAGCACCAGATCCACCAACAAAGCTGCGAAGTCAGTCTGCGTGTGTTGTTGCGTCGTGCAACCACGGAGAGTCCTGGCATGCCACCATTGCAGGCTGCAAAACCTGCAGAGACCAGAAGCGATCATGCAGCCAACAACATGAGCAAGTGACACCGAGCTTCTCTCCTTTTTCAGCCCAAACGATACAAGCAATTCCAACGCCAAACGCTTCACGGAAGAAAAATATGAGAACCCCCAACAAGCAAACAAGCAAGCAACCGTCCCTACTTACAAAACATCTCTACTGACCTCACTTGAAGTGTAAGTCATATCCCAACGGCTTGCCAAAAACACCCCGCATACCCCGCCTGGGGCAGCGCGGGCGCCGGTGGGACCGGGACCGGGGCCGGCGACGGAGTGTTGCCCGGGAGGGATGGCACTTGGCCGCCACCTTCCAGGAGGCAAAAAGTTGAACCCGCTTTGCGGTGGTGGCTGCGGACTCGCTCCTTTTTTTTGTTCGTTGTGGTTTTCTTGGGGGTTGGAGTTGACCGCGGATGTCTTCCAAGAAACCAGCAAAGTTCAAGAGATCCGCAATGTCCCTGGAGCAGCACCGAGAACGCCTCTACGAAAAGCAGTCTCATCTACCAAAACACAATGCGCCTGGTGCTTTTGGGGCAGGGGGGTGGCAAACTGAAAGCTCTAGGAGGCAACCCCAGGGTCTGCAGGAGGAACAAGGCAACGCACCCGCCTGTGCTGGGCTCAGCTGTGGTTGAGGGCACCTGCGACTTGGCCACGAACGATCGGGCCCCAGTGCTGAATAGCCTGGTCAAAATAGGCATTTTTCGTCTGGAGCAGCTTATTTGTTCCGGGGAGGAATTGCCGCACAAAGGGCGCTTTCACCTCGCCCCAGTTTCGCAAAAGCATCTCCAGCCTCTTGCACCCAGCCAGGGTTGGCAGGCGCCGGATCGGTAGGCCTCCAGCGGGGCTTCTGATCGGAGTCCAAGCAACCCTCACCCTTTGGAACAAGCTAGAACATGTCCAGTCGCCTTATGAAACCACCTCGGTCAGGTCTCTGAGCTGCAGACTGACCCCCCAAGCCGCAGTCGATCCTGTCATGCAGAGCAGTTCTGCCGGAGCTCCAGACGGGCGCTCAAGGCGGTCGAAGCTCCGCTCACCCAAAATCATGTGAGTGCATTACCCGTTTGGACGGTCTCCGACCTTCCCAACCTCTCTGATCTGCCTCAAACTTTGCCAAATTCCTGGTCCTCAAAAATGGACGTCCAAATTGCGCGACCAAACGACAAGTCGATGAATTTCAGGCGACGGCACCCAGCAACCGCTGAGATGTTGCCGCTTATGCATGGGCACAACCTAGACGAGAAGCGAGCTGAGTGCCATGTCAACCACTCCGCATCCATTGGTATCCTCTTCGGTGGAACAACCCTGCTCCTTCACAAATCAGCCTCTTGAATAATGCCAAGCCTGTGGAAAGTTGTATCCCAGACCAAAAACCGCGAGTCGTGTTAAACCACGGCTCTGTCAGGTGACTCAGCCGTACCCAGCCACATCTCCAAGCCCCTGTCCGGCGCATGACCTTCGCATCATCCAAAAGCTGCGTGGGGGTTGCGGACTTGTGCCTGCAAGTGCCGGCGTGTGCAGACCAAGATGCTTTTCATTGCAACATCCAAGAGGAAAAACAAATGTGCTTGGCTGGCAATGTTGTAGTTGCAGCTGATGAAAAAGGACACAGCTAGCTGCCACATGGTGCAGATCCAAGGCCCCAGCGCGCACCGCGGCGACTGGGAGGCCGTGTGCCCCGCAAACCAGTAGCACATGGTGTTCTCCGCATCCTGCGGGCCAAACGGAGTCTCGAGAAATCGCAAATGGCAGGCTGACATTTTACATGTCATTGCGAATTCAAGTGCCTGCGTACAAGTCCAAGGCTTTCACTGGCCATAGCCATGGTTGTGTGTGTCTGTGGTTTGATTCCCTTAAGACTGTGTAACCAGTGTCATAGCTCCATTGGCAAGTTGCCATTCCGGCACTGGCTGGTCTATCGAATTTCTGGATTTGCTGCTGACTTGAAAATCGTCAAAAATATACTATGCTCAATCAAGATCATGACAATGACGAAACTGCAAAGATTTCGCCATCGGTCAGCTTCCTCACCATGCTTTGCCCTTTGAACGCATCTAGGGGGGCGATACTTCTTTGTATTAGCCGTGGGCATCTGCAGCGTCCATGATTGAAGGGTCTTACAATTGTGAGCCCCTGCAGATGCTCTGAGTTCCTGCTGAGTCCTTGTCCTCTCGGCAACTTGTTAAATTGCTTCAAAAGAGGGGGGGGTGGCCAAGATTCATCAATCAAATGAAAAAGCAGAACAGGAGCCCCATCCTTAGCAGGGTGCCAGGGCTGCGCAGATCCCGCCGCCACACCTGCAAGTTCTGCTTGCTTCAAGACAATTTGGATTTTAAAGGGAATCCTTCTAGGAGCGCCTCGAACGAAATTTCCCAGCTTGGCATGCTTGCTAAAATCACGAGTTGTTGAGCGCTGGAAAAAAGGGCCCGCAAGACCACGCAGCTGCAGCGCGAGTAGAATGCCGGAGGATCCCTGCGATCAGGGAGATGAAACTCAAATCTGCGTGGAACAGCGAGCAGAGCAACCCTTCGAAAACGAAACCTGAGCATTGACCGGCAACCTGCCTTTGTGGGATGAGCCTTCAGACTGAAACAAAAAAAACATTTGGTACCAACAAGGCCAATCCAAGCCGTCGGCTCCCAGATTCACTTGGCAAAAGAACATTCAGCCAAAAAGCCAGGCTTTAAGATTCGAGCATTCATGACCAAAGTTCCAAGTTTCGCGTCTGTGGTCAACAATTCAAGAGACTTTGCGCGTGAACATAAATAGATCAAACCCAGGGTGCTCAAAGAGACATTTTCCTCGAGCCGAACTCGAATGGTACATCCAATCTGTCTGTCCTGAAGGTTGCATGTGGTTAGTGTTTTCCTAGTGAACCACTTTAGTGGTTGTTTTCAGGGATGACCAAAGAAAAGGCCAAGGAAATCTAAACAACAACCCAAGGCGAACCCTAGTTTTGAGACAAACCCATCTGGGGCCCCAGGCCAAAACAAGTGCCCTGGAGGTTGCTGCTAAGGGCGCTCTCCAGCCCAGCCGCCGTGAGGGGCCAACAGGCCTCGGATTGCAAGTTGTTCTCTGCTTTTGCGCAGTTGCGTTCCTCTCAGTTGGTCGGAAAAAAACTTCATGGCACAAAAATGTGAAGCCCCGGCCCAACGGCGCAAGTTGCCCAAGGCATCTTGACCCGCCTCCGTGCAAGCAAGGTTGTGATACCTGCAAACACTGTTGCAGTCCTCGTCCTGGCCGAGCGTGACCGAAGACTGAATTCTGAGTCACATTGAAATTATCTGAGACAAGAAACGGCAAAATTGCTCTGTGCTTGACAAATCGTCAACCTAGCTTCGAAGTGCCGGCAGAAGTCAAAGCTCGGCCCCTCGCACGAACCTCTCGCGGGAGTGACTCGCTCCTCCCATGCTATGCTGATTCGCCATACCACCTCTGCAGGTGTGGACCTCAAAGCTGCAGCTTTAATGAAAGGACAACAAGTTGCACACCCAATACGTCGAATTTCACGGACACGGAAGCCCACATGAAGTTGCAAACAAAACGCTTCGGAGTATACAATTGAGCCTTGGGAAAAATGGTTCCCGTGATTCCAAAAAGTGACTCCTAAATGGTTCCAGCATGGATAAGTGACTCCTAAATGGTGCCAGCATGGATCGTTGTTTTGGAGAAACGAACAAAAATACACATTGCAATTGCAACGGCTCCATGATGGTTAGCGTGAGTTCCAAGCGCCACAGCATAGAACAGGGCGAAGAGGAACCTCAGTGACCCCGGCTTGGAATGTGAGGCGTCTTGCCAACAAGAAATGGACAACTTCAATACAACTGCATCAGAAAAGTGTCTGTATCCGACAGATTGAGTTTTGGGATTGGGGCATGGCTGGACCCTTCATTCAACGTGCCAGGCCATGAATCGTCTGCTTTTCATGAAGCAAACCGCGCAAACAGTCTGCAAAATTCCATTGTCATAATGGCTAAGCTCGTCGAACCACCATCTCTTGCTGATTGTTGGTTGCTTGCCAAGCTTGGAGCCGGACCAAAGCCCCATGCCGCCATGGGCAGCCACCCGCCACGCAATGGCTGTAACAGTCAATTTTACATATAGCTGCTCAAGCTGCAGTAATCCACTGCAAAACGACGACAGGTCAGATTGGAGTGAAATCAAGTTGGTCATGCAAACAGTTGACCACGACTGGTCGGGACATAGTTTCTGCACGGCAGAGCATGCCGCAAACCTTAAGCCCAAATGTTGCCCTGCACGAGCACTATGCAAACAAGTGTCCAGTTGCAAATTTGCAACATGTCGATCATCAACTGTCCATCCGCACTTGCCCCCGTTGCATTCACGATTCACACCAGCCAGTTTGCTGATAAGATGTAGTGATGCAGAACAAGTTTGAACCAGACCAAACCCCAACACAAGTGCATATCGTGGATAGCTGTCAAATGCTGCTGCCAACAAGGTACAAGGACTTTGTTCAAGTTTTGACTGGCAACGATCGATTTGACAGTCCCAACATTGTTCCACATTTGGAATCGTCTTCATCCAAGTGATGATGCAGTACTAGCGATGTGAGGGAACTTCGCCCAAGACAAAAACACGACACTAGATGCAATCATAGGTGGCAGCAATTGCACAGATTGAAAATTGGTCATTCGCAGCCGCCGCACAACTGACTTTTTCCGAATCAGGCATGACGCAAGTTCCGCGCCCCACCCATCAAAGAGTCAACTGGCACTCGGGGCCTCAATCCCTGATTGATTCAAATAGCTTCTCAGTTTTGTGGGACATGGTCACGCCTGGCCGATTGTGAATGCCATGTCGCTGTTATTTGGATTTGCTCACCCCCAACAGTGCCAACAAATTTGTTGACACTCACGCGGCTGAAAACAACCTGATCCCGAAATCGGAAACATGGTTTGTTGCGCTACACTATGTCGTAACTGGACAAGAACGATCTTTCTTGTTTATTTGCAAACCATGTAGCGTAACAACGAGAGAGGGGCGAAAGGCCAGCTTGCGGCTGCATTTGAAACTGAAGAGTTGCAGATTGTTTTTGGCTCAAATTGTTGCAGGCATGGCGTGGTCGTTCTGCGTACTAAGCATTGAGCACGACGCCACGAGGCAGACATCGTAAAAGCACACAAGCGCGCTTTATCGTGCATCCAAATCTGCGTGGCAAGCATTGGAAACCCCTGCAAGCGGGCATGGCACAGCACGCAGCTGATGAGCCAGAACCACTAACCAAAGCCACCATGGCAGGCGCTTGGTGGAAACGGGCGGTCGCAGTAAGAGTACGTTGCCTCGACGGAGTTTCCAGCGTCTTTTTTTGGCTGAGCGGGCACCTGGACACAAGAGGCGAGGGTCTTCCCCCCCTAACGGGAGACGCAAAACAAGCATGTTCTTGAAGTGCGAAACGCGAGGCAGCGTGTCCACACCAGCGTCACGGGACGCGCCGGTTCCAAGACGAGTCTAGGGCCGGATCGCGGGTTCTACCTTGGCAGACAAGGCAGGTGTAGATAGGGGGACGGCGTTTCAAAACGAAACCAACACAGAACTTGAGGCTAGGAGCACAAAATGGAAGCAGCGCACAAGATTCACACCAGGCCTGAAACACAAGGAAAAATATTTTTCCCCGTGCCGCCTTGAGCAAAATCGCCGCTCGACTAAACAGAAAGTCAAAGGCCACATAAAGGCTTCCAAGAAGCGACAGGCAAACAAATTCCCCAATTAGCCCCTTAAAAGACGCAGCCAAAGGCCAGGTACACAGCACAGCGCTTGAGCTGTGTGTTCCCAAGTAGCAGCGGTGCAGGTTCACGACGGGCTCGAACGTGTCCACCATCTGTGAAAATATGCCAAACGAGGCGGTCCTTGCTGCTGACTGCTTCTTCTTTGCAGAGCACGCTTCTTTGCAGAGTTTGCAGAGCACTCTTCTGCAAAGCACGCTTCTCTTCTTTGCAGAGCACTCTTCTCTGCAAAGCACGCTTCTTTGCCGCTTCTCTGCAAAGCACGCTTCTTTGCAGAGCACTCTCCTTTGCAGAGCACACTTCTTTGCACTCTCCTTTGCAGAGCACTCTCCTCTGCTTCTTTGCAGAGCACTCTCCTTTGCACACTTCTTTGCAGAGTCAGCTTCGGGCGCAAAATCAAATATTCTGTTTGGCAAGACACACAACTAGAGAAATAAAAAAGCTGCCCCTGTTTAAAAAGGACGCATGGGGAAGATCAAGCTTTTCCCCACGACCGAGTACACCAGCAAGCAAGCCTCGTGACCCCGTGGTGCCACTGGTGCCGTGCACCGGCATCTTCCTCGGACCTTCAAAATCGGGCAAGACCGTGGCGCTGAGCAGCTTGATTCTGGAGCAGTATCGAGGCGTCTTCGAGAGAATCTACGTCTTCAGCCCGAGCGTTAACATCGACGACGGCTGGATCCCCGTCAAGAATTACATTGAGGAGGACCTGGGGGTGAACACGGAGCGTGAACAGGCCTACTGGGACGAGTGGGACGAGCCGGCGCTGCGCCGCATCACCCAGCAGCAGCGCAAGATCACGGAGGCGTCCAAGAAGTTGGAGATGAAGAAGCTGTACCAGGTCCTGATAATAATCGACGACTACGCCGACAGCCCGCAGCTCCACAAGTCCCACGGCGCCCTTGACACGCTCTTCATCCGAGGCCGTCACAGCACCTGGGTGAGTTCCCAGAAGCTGAGGCTCATCAGCGCCGCCGTGCGGGTCAACATGCAATTCCTCTGCTGCTGGAGGCTGCGCAACCAGCACGAGCTGGATGCCGTCATCGAGGAGCTGAGCGCACTGCTGCCGAAGGAGCAGCTGTGCCGGCTGTACGAGCAGGCGAGTTTCCTCTTTGTGTACTACCTGAAGCCGAAGAACGAAATGTTCTACAAGCGCTTCGAAGAGCGTTTCGCGCTTGAGAAAGACTCCGATGGGGGCAGCGCTCAGCTTCCTGGGCCAGAAGCTCGCCAGCTCCACGCTGATCAACGCGAAGTGTGAGAACATCTCCTGCTGCACTTCCGTCGCAGCTGTCCAGTCGCCCGTCGTTCGCCTGACGGGTGGCTTCCTAAAGAAAAGGATAACGACGATCTACGTGGACAGCCGCAAGAGGGTGGCCGGCTCGGACAGCGACTTTGAGGTCGACCTGGGAGAGTCGCTGCACCTGCAGAGCGACGCCCGGCTCGCCGTCTACAAAATCCGCCTGGCCGACAGCTTCCTGTCCCGGACCGCAGCCGCTACCTCTACTGGGTTGACGCCGCGCTCGGCACGCTGAATTGGGCGCTACGGCGCTTACACGGGCACCCGGCTGGCCGCCTGGGTCAGCTCCAACTTTGCCACCGCCACCTATAGCAAGACCGCAAACAGTCTGAGCGTTGCCTACGACGGCAACCGGCTGATCCTGAACGACCTGGATTCAGCGGACTACCCTGCTGCGCCGCCCGCCTCTTTAAGTTTGTCCGCATGATGGCACACAACGAGGTCTTCCTGCGCTGCGCCCAGCTGGCCAACGGCTGGGCAACCTGGGCGACAACATCCTCTCCAAGATCACGCTGAAGAGCGGAGTGGGTACCATTGTGGAGACGGGCACTTCATGGCCCTCAGGCCCGGTTACCCTGAGGCACATGCGCTTCTGGCTGACCGACCTGGACGGCAACGTCGTCCGGCTTCGCGGGTCGTCTTTGTCGTTCGTCTTGACCACGAAAAATTAAATGGAGCCGACCGAACAAGAGGCGCAAGAGGCGGAGGCGCAAGAGGTGCCACACGCTGTGCCGGACGCTGCGCAGGACGCTGCGCGGCGGAACCGAAACGGCGGGGCAGGCCCCCTGGGAGGACGGCGCCGGCGAGCAGAGGCACCGGCTGAGGCACCGGCGGGTTCCGCAAGACGTACCCCAGTTACTGCAGCTGAAGCGCTACCGAGAACTGGAGGAGGCGCGGGCCTTCAACAATTGCCTGGGGGCAGGCAGGCGCAGAAGGGCAGCGGCGCCTGGACGACGAGCCGCTGACGGAGGCTGTGCACCGCCAGGTGCCCCAGCTGCGCTACGCGCGCGCCGAGCGCCGGGGCGTGGAACGGGCGGCGGGCGAAGTTGCGCAACAGTAAATGAAGACGCTTCGGGCGCAGGGCTTCAACCAGCGCCCGCGCTTTGAGCAGGTGGCGGGCTACGTCCTGCTAAGGCCGGAAGAGCGTTCTCCAGCACCCAGCCCGCGCCGCGGGCAAGACCGTAGGCTGCGCCGCCGCGATGCCCACCCAGCCCCGCCGTCCGCCAGCCAGCGTTCCAGCAACCTTGCCCGCGGTGGGCGTCAGGGCAGCAGCTCGCTCCCTTGGCCAGGCCTCCCAGGCACCCGAAGGCTCCGCCCACGCCTCGGCGACCTCGCCCTCCTCGGCAGCCACGGCCGCCGTCTTCTCAGCTTGCGCCGCGTCCAGGCGCAGTCCAACAACACGCCGCGCCCCTTCTCCTGGGCCTGAACCCCGTGGCCCCGGGCGAGCTCCAGTCACGCCGGAGCCTGCCTCCATTCCAGTCCCGTGTACGATTTTGCTCCTTCGCCGTACGAGTGCAAATGCGTGTCGTGGTACATGTAAAGAAGCATGGAGGTAGTCACCGCCGGGCCCAGGATGAGCTGATGCAGAGCCTGGCCTGGACTACAAGCTGAAGACGAGCAACACCAGCTACGTGACGGCGCGGCACGATGCGCAGTACTTCCCGAGCTCGCTGAGTTCTCCCCCCAACCTCTCAGGTCTGCCGCATCCCGCTGACCAGCGGCACGTCCTTCATCGACCCCGAGTTGATCAAGATTGCCAGCCGGACCGCAAGGCCACCTCGTTCGTCACAAGCCACTTCTATTCGTACAGTCCCGGCCCCTGCAGCACACGCCCTGTTGGCAATTCCCAAGGACGGCTTCTTCGGCAGAAGACCCCAAGGCCGGCGCCCTGGCAAGCAACGGTCAGGGCCATCTATAACGGAACGTCTCGAGGAGGCGCGGCTGCTTGCGGGCCGCGTCCTCGCTGCCTTGACGGAATGAGCTGCTGCCCCTGGATCACGGCACCAACCCGCTGGCCCCGGCCACGCCGGACGAAGCAGCGCGTCCAACGCCAGCTGCGACGACAGCAACGACTACGGCCGCACCGTGGCCGTGCACGACCTGCTGAAGGGCCGAGAGTACAACCGCAACAAGGCCATGGAGGGTTTCGACGAAGTCAACGACCCCCGCATCGCCCTGCGC